GTGTAAGGGCATCCGTGCCCCAGGACGCGCGGCTCCGCCCCCGGGCGCCCGGCGCGTGAGTGGCCCCGCCCCCGGGCGCCTCTAAAGGTTGGGGACCACTGGTGTACACTATCACACCCCTATTAGTAATATGCCTGCCAACAATTGATGGAAGTGCTAGCTCTAATGGAATTTGGTCACTAAAAGCAATCTCAACAGTGACTGTGGCAAAGAAACTAGACCTTTCTGATTTTATAGGCAACAAAATATCATCTCTGGCTACTAGCGTGGACAAATGTTTGTTAAAACATCATTATCTTGAAATACAAGCTTTTAATTTACATACCCAAAAGTGCTGTAAAGGCCTGTAATGCCTAAAAGTGACAGACACCATCATCAAATCTGCAAGTCCTATATACTGATGGATTAATTTCTTTAGCTTGTTTTTTTTTTTTAATATCTCCATTTTCAAGATTCATTGTTTCTGATGTCAATTTACAACAAAGAGAACACCTATTTTGTGTGGGACAGAAATAAGAGTAGGTCAAAAAATTAATGTGACCCCTTCTGGGAAGGTACAGCTGAGACATATTCCACAGTTTTCTGTAACAACTTCAATTTCATGACAACCAGCTGTATTAAAATCTAAATCTGAAATTTCAATACATTGTTTTGAGAAACAGATTAATGTTACTCAGATATTAATCAATGAGAAGTCTTATGAAGTACCAATCTGGGTTTAGTCAGGGCTTAATCCTTAAAGAAATATAAATTATGTGAAAGAACACACAGATATCCATTTTATACACACAGGTATCTGCAGATGTTCATGCAAATATCTGCAGTTCATTTTTGCAGATGTGGATAAAATGTTGGTAACTAATTGACCATTCATTATCAGTTGGAAATAGGTCAATGGAGGGATGATAGGAGTTGCTATAGGGAACTTTCTGGGTGTCTGGCTGGTGAGTCTTGCCCACATGCTCAGGGTTTAGCTGATCGCCATATTTGGGGTCAGGAAGGAATTTTCCTCCAGGGTAGATTGGCAGAGGCCCTGGAGGTTTTTCGCCTTCCTCTGTAGCATTGGGCACAGATCACAGCTGAAGGACTCTCTGCATGTTGGGGCCTTCAAAGTATTTGAAGGCGTCAATATCTGAGACATAGGTGAGAGGATTATTCTAAGAGGGGTGGGCGAGAGTCTGTGGCCTGCACTGTGCAGGGGGTCAGACTAGATGATCATAATGGTCCCTTCTGACCTTAAAGTCTATGAGAACACTCAGCATTTCTAATACTCCAGTGGCCCAGTCTGTAACATATATTGCAGCCCTGGAGTTTGCTGAGATAAATATTAATATTCTGTTAAGATAATATGAAATTAAATGTGCCTAGTGTTTTTCATCCTGAACTACATACATAGATAATGTTCACTGTTCGTGTAGTTTAGAGCCTCAACTAAGTACTTTGCCTGATAAATGCTGATTAGACTTATCTCTAAAGCAATTTGAGATCTTCAGATGAATGTGCTGCAAGTGCAAAACATTATTACTTCCCTTTTGCTACAGTTTTATTGACTGCCATCTCCAAATTTTTCCATTGCTTTTGTTTTTTAGAGAACAGCTCCACTCTGTTTGGGATTTTCTTTTAATACCCATCGCACGGTGGGAAGGATTCAGTTTCAGTTACGTGCAGCCAAAAGCAATTCAAAATTGCACAGTCATAAGTATTCCCATGATACTTTGGGAAAAGATTCTAGGGTTAGATACAGCATATGCCTCAGTCAGTCTCCATGGACAAGAGCTTCCATAGAGTGTCAGCCATGAATTAAAGTGGCCCTTGGAACAATGAGGAAAGGAAGTAGGTAATGTTGCTGTCAGTTCTTTCTAGGGTCAAACTCCTTTCCAATGTAGCTAGCCCCTACAAGTACAGGAGGTTGTTCATCAAATCTATTAACTATTTAACCTGTTACTGCTGAAGTCACTCTCAGCAGCTGTTAGTCAGACCCTGTTAACTAATGCACAGTAAACCAAGGTGGAGTTGTAAAATATTAAATTGGCCCTCACTGGACATCCCTCATTTTCTATTAGTATCTAAGCATTACAGGAATCAAGCAAACAAAAGGTAAGTCTTCTCAGCAGAATTGTCTTTACTAAAACCTCTGCTCAAATCAAGAATCAAATGTGGACTGTCACAAATTATTAATGGCATTACATTGTGCTGGTAATTTTCCTCAACAATCTTGGCTGGCAATGTGATAAAGCATAGACACCACAGTGACGGATACTGTATAAAAATCCAAGAAGATCAATAATGCTAATTTCCACATCATTAATCTGTGCTTCTCCAGGTATAGTCTTAAACTGTCCAAGAAAAGCAATAATCCCACTAGCACCATGTTCCTTGTAGGGATATTCACATATAATTGTTTGAACATTTCACTGGTAAAACCAGGTTTACATGTTAATCCTAATGGTTACATGCATTCCCTTGTCCCCTCCCCCCGCTGCCTCTGTAACAGAGGCAGCAAAGGGGGAGGCGGTGCCTATGGGGAGCTGACTTTTAAGCCATGGAGCCCCATATTCCCCACTCCACTGCCTCCCACAGAGGCAGCAGCCTGGAGGAACAGGCAGGAGCCAGTGCTTGGGGGGGAGCCAGTTTGAAAGCCAGCTCCCCACAAGCACTGGCTCCTCTGGAGCCGCCTGCCCTCCATGCTGCTGCCTCTGATAGAGAGGCAGTAACACGGAGTGTGATGAGGGCGGAAGCAGGAGCCATTACACACAGGAAGTTGGCTTTCAAGCCAGCTCCCTGTGCATACCAGCTCCCACAGAGCCACTTGCCCCCTTCACTGCTGCCTCTTAATAAGTCAGCTCCCCATAAACACCAGCTCCAGCCTGCTCCTCAGAGTATAAACATGTAATTGTTAAAAGTTTCAGCAGACGCATGTTCACACAGATTCACAATTTTTAACATTCCTAGTTCCCTGTAAGGTGAGCGCTTGACAGCCACTCAGGAGAGATTCAAATGATGCCCAGCTGATTTTCAAGGTGCCCACAGCATGTGCTTCTACTGGTGGTGCACATCTGCACACAACAAAATGTATTCTGCACATGGATGAA